CACCTGGCCCCCCACGAAAACCCCATCGTGTCGCTGAACAAGTGGGGACAGTACGCGAGCGACGTGCAGCTGATCCTGCGCCGCACCGGGCCCTCTCTGAGCGAGCGGCCGACTTCGGACAGTGTGGCTCGCATCCCGGAGAGGACTCTGTACCGGCAAAGCCTGCCCCCCCTGGCCAAGCTGAGACCTCCCGGCGACAAACCCATGAAGAGGAGGGAGCCCAAGAGGAAGTCCCTCACCTTCACTGGGGGGGCCAAAGGGTTAATGGACATCTTTGGGAAGAGCAAGGAATCCGAGTTCAAGCAAAAGGTGCTCAACAACTCCAAAACGACAGCGGACGAGTTGAAGAAATTGATCCACCTCCAGACGGAGAAGCTTCAGTGCATCGAGAAACAGCTGGAGTCCAACGAAGCCGAGATCCGCTACTGGGAACAAAAGTATAACTCCAGCCTGGAAGAGGAAATCCTCAAGCTAGAGCAGAAGATCAAAAGGAACGAAGTGGAGATTGAAGAGGAAGAGTTCTGGGAAAACGAGCTCCAGATTGAGCAGGAGAACGAAAAACAACTGAAAGAGCAGCTGCAGGAGATAAGGCAGAGGATCCTGGAGTGCGAGAACAAGCTGAAGGACTACGTGTCGCAGATCCACAACATGGAAAGTGGCCTTGAAGCAGAGAAGCTGCAGCGGGAAGTTCAAGAGTCCCAAGTGAATGAAGAAGAGGTCAAGGAAAAGATCGAGAAGGTGAAGGGTGAAATCGATATTCAGGGTCAGCAGAGTCTGAGACTAGAAAATGGCATTAAAGCTGTAGAAAGGTCTCTGGGCCAAGCTACCAAACGGTTACAGGTAAGAATGTCCTTTTTGTCCATAGCTAAGGAGGAGTCAAAGACCTTGACTGTAATAACCTTTTCTTACACAGATTGGAGTCCATGAAAGAAACAATGAGAAAGTTTCCGTGATGAATTTGAGTAAAAGGAGGAAAGTGTTGGTTTCCTTTTCAAATTGCATTTCAGAATTTTATTTTTTATTTTTTGGAAGAGCAGAGAATTTTCACTTCGCCTGTGTGTGTTTTATTTAGTTAGTTCTTTGTCTCAGGATCAACCAGCACATATTTTGCTGGACATGATTTTAGCCATTCAAGAGGTCTGGGTGGCCCACAGAGTTAATGCCAAGTGCCCCACCACCATTCACTTATTTACGTGCTGGCTCAGGTTCATTTTCATCAGTTACAGCTTTGGTTTGTTACTATTCACTGGCTGCCTGGTGACCTCTGCAAAATTGCTCAAAGCATATCTTTACCTTGCAGTTGTCCATGAGAAAGAAACACCAGAGTTAACGTCAGCTAAACTAGCCAAGAGCAGTATGGCTGCACCCGTGGCATCGCATCTGGCCACCTCGCCCTGCTGAGAGGGAGTGCTCACTAGTGCGGTGCCGCTGTGCTATAGCGGGGCTGGGCTCTTTTACACCTCAGACAAATAGTATTTCATGTGTGAACAATAACAGATTTAAGGCTAGCAGGGAGTTGTTGTACTGCTGGGTGCTAAACAGGACCTTTGTCCTCTTGGCCTAAACCTTTAAAAGTATTAGTCTTTAAACACCTCTTGATTTGGTGTTAGAGATCTTGAGCATTTAGATCCTAGATCGTGACAGCTTCATGCTTCATATTGTTGAATTTCAGTGAAATTTGCATCATTAAAGCTAACTCATGGGGTTTTTTGAGGCTAAACTCACGATTCTTGCTAAGTTTGTCTGCCACTAAACAGATGAATGAAAAAGAATAGTCCAAAAGCAGCACCTGGATAGGCGGATGTAGAGCTAAAATAGCCAGTAGCTTACAGGGCTTTTGTTTTAAAGAATAACATCTCCCTTTTTCTGTCTGACTTGCTGGTGTTCAGGATTTTATCTTCTCTACACCTCAAGCATTTGTGGCACATGTGTCAAAAGAGAATCCATTCTCTGTTTCCTTGCTAAAGTTAATTATGTCATCTGAAACTTGATAGAGCATGAAAAACTAAATATAAATGGAAAACCAGCTGCTAGATGGATGGGGCAAAGGAAAGATTGGGGCTCCTGGGATTTTAATGTGTCATCCAAGATAGGACTGAGGCCCTGCACATCAGTTTGAGTTGCAATTCTTGCTGCATTCCTGGGGTTCACAGTTATACTGTGTTCTGCAGTGCTGCAGCAGCAAGGTGATTCTGCTGTGAATATGTAAAGGGAATTCGCACCCTCACTCCTGAGCACTTAGAAACATGTCAGTGTAAGCTGCTTTTTACTACATGAGGAGGGAAAAAAATGTAGTTTTGTTCATCCAAAGCAAAATGGATAAAAACTGCAAGCAGTTTTGGCCATATTTATCTACCTTAAATTTCCAGACACGCTACACTTAAGGATTTGTGCTAACAGAAAGCATCGAGTCGCCTTTATATATTTTATTTATCCCCAGTAATACTTAGTGAGGCTATGATTGAGTTAATCTTTTTCATTTCATTTTTTTCTTAGGCTAGGGTTTCACTTTCTTGGGAGAGTTTCTGTTAAATTTAGGTATTTCAAACTTGCAGACCAAACAAAATCAAAACCTACCTTTCTTCAGGTAAAAGATCTTACTCAAGTTTCACAATTAGATACTAATTTAAGAGCTTAAACTAGTAGGATTTGGGAAGATACTTAAAATTTGAACTTTATTTCCTGTGGAAGTTGACAAGCATCGAAAACAAGTTATTGATTCTGTGTGATTATGATAGTTCTATTAACCTACCTTTCTCAGTGTTTGTGGGTTTGGCTTTGTTTTGGTTTTAATTAATTCCCCTCAGAGACAACTTTTTTACAATCTCATAAAACATGGTGCTCCCAAGTCCCTAGTTGTGGAGCATAATAGCCCTGAAATTGAAGGTGTTTCCTGTAGAACTGTTTTAACAGTTTGGAAGTGGCCTGATTTCTCTTTCTCAGTCTAGTTTCACAGGATGTCAGGAGTTGGAAGGGATCATCTAGTCCAGCCCCCCCTGCCAGAGCAGGGTCACCTACAGTAGGTCACACAAGTACTCATCCAGGTTGGTTTTGAATGTCTCCAGAGAAGGAGACTCCACAACCTCCCTGGGCAGCCTGAAATTCTTTTCTGAAAGCTTGTAGCCAATGAATGGAAACACAAGTCTAGCACAGGAAGCTGAAGACAAACCACATGAGCTGCTTTGACTGAACAGGTCAAACAGATTAGTGACAAAACAACTGGCATTTAAAAGGTCCTAATGTAGACATCAGATTATTTGTGTTAATTTTCTTGCTAACTACTGAGTTCAGTCTCAATTGTGACCTTACTGCAAGCTTAAAGTGAATAAAGGCTGTGCTTTTGAGGACTGTTCCTACAACAGATCCACAAAGCTATTCCACCCTGATCCTTGTGCAAGTTCATGTATAATTGTGCTTAGAAAGATAACAAGAGGGAAGAATGAAGATGCAGCGGTGTGCATGGCAGGAGAGTGCCCGCAGAGATGCTACTGCCTGTGAGGCCAGGTAGGTTCAGCCCATCCTGGCTGTGTAGGAGCACCACGTGCAGCTGTCTGCTAATGCAACTGAAGCTGTGCTGGGGGAGAGAGATAACTGTAGCCTAAGACTGTCATAATCTGCCCAAGCTGTAGGGTTTGGATATCGTGTCAGAATTACAGAGCCTTGAGGAGGATCCTAAATGATCATCTGCTGTGCTTGTGAAGGAGCATTGAATCAGACGGGATTTGGCCTTGTTGTACAAAACACAGTAGGCTTGCAGAGTGAGAGAGTTCTGTCCATAAAAAAAAATTATACTCCGAAATAGAAAACATAAAGAACAAGAGAAGAGAATTATTCTCCTTTTAGGAACAGAAAAATTAAATGAGCTGTCCAAGTCATTCTGGACACATATGGCAGAGCTAAAATTTGGTGCCAGAGTGATGCTCAGTTCCTGTATTTTTTTCAGAGTGCTTGCAATTACCTTTATTTGCTCACATCTCTTGTGCCAGATTTTTTTTCAGGTGGTATGAGAAATATCTGCTAGTCATCCAAAAAGCAATATAAACAGACCAGTAGTAACCCTCTAATAAGCAGTAATGAGTGTTGATTCATTTTCTAAATTATGAGTAAAATACCTTTCAACTCTGCCATTTGCTTTTGAATTTAAAAATTGGAGGCCGTCTCATCAAAAGGAGAAGTGTTAGTTGTTCAGTTGCAAATAAAGTCTCGAATTGCTGTTCTACGCTCGCTGCTGCTCAGCAGATATTTTCCCTTTCCTGGCAGGACAGGGAACAAGAACTGGAGCAACTGACAAAGGAGCTGAGACAGGTCAATCTCCAGCAGTTCATCCAGCAAACGGGAACGAAGGTTACGGTGCTGCCAGCAGACCCTGTCGAGGTGGAGGCCCCGCACGTGGAGCTCGAGAGAGGTGCGGCGCTCGGAATGGTTTTGTTGGGCGGGAGAAGGAGATGGCAAAGCGTATGTCTGCTGTGTTAATGCTAGCGCTCATACGTGAAGCAAATGCTCTGTTAGCGGGGAAGTTGGCAAAATACTAAAGCACAGTGTCAAATACTTCGCTTCATTCCAAGGGTTTAGCAAGCTATAAATAAAGTGCCGTATGTGGATAATTTCTCTCCCACTGTGCCTAGGCATGTGTTTGTCCCATTAGTAACTCATTAGGCCATTAGCTTTCAAGCACGGCCGCCGTGGCTGTAGGCATGTAAGCTGGCACGCAACACGATCGCACGTCTGGCATTGCTGTTCATCTGGGTTCTTCCTCATCTGGGGGGGTTGTTGTCAAAGTAGAAAAAGGAATGTGTCTGGATCTCGAGAAATCCCAAACAGCAGCCGCACAGGAATAGGAGCTAATCCAGCTGGGCTACCAGCCATCCGGAACTCCTGCACAGATGGCTGCGGCGGCACGTGCAAATTGACTTTGCCCCTAGTGAGATCAGTGCGTTGTGCACGTGCCCACATCTGAATTTGGAATTTCCTAGAGAGAAATGTGGGAGCACTCTGAATGCACAAGCGGGAGCTCCTCTACTGTGGTGTGCTTTATGCGGCACCCTGCTTGCAAGGGGCTTCTTTCTCTCGGCATTTTCCTTACACGGTTCTGTCCCTTCTGTTAGAAAACTTGCTAACCAAAATGTATTGGGAGGGTGAGGAGAGAAGAGAAGAAAAGACAGGCCTTAAATATCAGTAAGCCAGGCCTTAAATGTCAGTACTTGGATGAAGTTGCTCTTTAAAGAAGCGGGAAGCTGAAGCTTGCAGTTACATATAGGTACAAGCTCTTTCTGCATGTTACCGTATAAAGGTATTGCATGTGTCCATGTGCATGTTCCTTGTGGGAGGATAATTATATTGAGTAGATTTATCTTCTTGTTTTGAAATAAGAAGGAGATGTGCACCTTAAACCTCATCACTTCCTAGTCAGGCATTTGAATTTTTGTTGTGTGCGGTACTAGTTTCTCCATACTGCACTAAGCAGGAAGAAGAGAGGTGTTCTACAGCCATGCCCCTTGGGGATGACTTCTCTAACTGCCCTTTTCCTTGTGCAGAGCCGACATTTCAGTCTGGATCCCTGAAGCGCCCTGGCTCATCGAGGCAACTCCCCAGTAACCTTCGAATTTTACAGAATCCCCTGTCGTCTGGTTTTAACCCGGAGGGCATTTATGTATGACAGTACATTCCTCTTCTGGAGAGGACCTAGCAAGGTAGCCTGGACAAGATACACTTTTCTTTTGTTCTGCCAGTGATGAATGAAAGAAGGTATTTTATTTTTTTTTCAAACCACCATTTTTTTTCTTCCTTCCTCCAACACACCACTTGGAGCCATACCCTGTGCACTGATGCTAAAGAGACAGAGGAACTGTCTTGATTCATAACTGGCAAGGATGAACTTGCTGTCAGCACAGCTCGAGTGCAAAACTTCATTTGGTTTTGCCATTTCAGAAGTGTTTGGGAAAGTATTGTTCCTTGTGTAGGCATAAATAAAAGACTGAGCGTGAAAGAAACCATGTATGCAACCAATCTGAGGTTTAATTTATTCCCTTTAATCAATGGACGTGTGAATGTTGACGTTTTATATTTTTATTTTTAACTTGTGAATAATCACGAATGGCTGTATGTCAGTCTGACAAGGTGACTTTTAATTTTAGTGTGCAAACGTCCCCCATTTGATCAAGTACGCCAACTTGCAATGCAGCGTTCTGTGGAGTACTGAACCATTACAATAGTTTCTCACCACTGACTGTTAATTTCTGTTGTGGGTCATAATATGTCATGTTCCATCCATTGCTATCTTTTAAGGCTTGAAGAATGAGCTTGTGGGATTTACTTGCTGTTGAATCTGCCTTGAATGAAGCACCTATCGTTCAAAAGATTTATGGAATTTAAACCTTGGCTTGGTAAAAGCATTTCCAGCATATGATTGAGGATGCACTAGTTAGATGATATTTTATTATATAGAATGTATATTTGAAATATTTTGCCACATTGTATATGCCTTTTGAGAAAAGAACAATGTAAGAAGTTGTCTCTTTGTATATCTTACCAAGAGAGAGTAGGTGGTTTTCACTGTGTGTCATTTTGTACTTTATTTTTTCCACTAACCGTTACAGTGTTCTCGTTTTGTGGTAAATCTTGCTGTCGGAGGAGAAGAAGCCACAAGACAAATGAGCCTACTCTTCCAGCCTTCCAAAATTCACTCAAGTTTTGTGAAGAGAAGAAACCTGGCAGAGAGTCCCGTGAAGTCAATAGCAGAGCTTCTACTGACTTGAGCAGAGACAGGATTTCATTCCAGGTCACCAGTGTTAAATGGTTAAATGGTCTCTTTGAAAGGTGTATTGCTGCTTGGTCACTTCTAGAACATAAAGCTTACACCAAGGGAATTTGCACATTTGATAGTAATTTTTTAAAAAATGTGAAGAAAGAACAGCATCATATCTTGACATCACTCTAATGCAATCAGAGCTAAGCAAGGATTAGACAAAAATGGCTTCTGTGCAGAAAGTCAGACACTACCGAGTAGCACGTTGGTTACAGGCCTTGAAATAAGATGGTTAAAGTGGACACCAAGTTTGTAGAGAAAGCAGCTGGCATCAGTGGGACACTTCCTATCTGTGAGGGGCTGCCCTCATGGATGAGTTAGAGATGGGCCTTACCTAGCTGCATTTGGCAGCCCATGCCAATCTTCCCCACCTCTGAGGACCCCTTGACGCAAAGCGGGGTCACTGTGCTGTCACTGCAGCATTGAATCCCTGCACTTCAGTTCATGGCAAAATGACAGAACTCCTGATGTCTTCAGTAGGGTCAGGATTTTAAGACTGGTAGGAAACTGAGCTTTTCACCACAGAAAGTATTTCAGACTTCTTAACTCCTAGCATCCTCTTGTGTCGGTTTACTGATGTGCAGATAAATATTAAGTTTCCTTTTTTAAAAAAGGAGCTTCCTGAGAAATGGAAGGTTTATAAAATATAGTAGAAGATGAAGGACTCTTGAGCATTTAATGCATTTTTTCACCTTTCCGCTTATTAATAGCATCATATATTCTAAAAATGTTGCTGTATTTAGACTACCAGCAACAGATAAGGCTGTGAATATATAAAAGACCTTTCCGAGAGAACTCTGAATTTTTACTGTTTAACTTATCAGGTCTCTTTTTTCTCCCCCCCCTTGTGAGCAAACTGGAACATGAGATGTTCCTACCTGAGGAACCTTTGCAGTGCTCACATTTTACTGGTAGTTGATCACAATTCTGCGCTCATGTTTACTGTGCCCATAACTTTGTATTAAAGAAAGAAATAAATAGAATGTGTGTATATATATATATATATATTAAAAAAAAGTGTAAAATATACATAGTTTGGGGACAATATGTGTCCAAGGTACTTGAGCGTATATGCCTTACATTCTGGGTTCACTTTACAGAAATAAAATGTCCCTCTCCAGTGGATATCTTGCATCTTCAGCACCTCTTGATGTTAGAGAACTGAGGCACTTGGCACCTTGCAAAGTCTGGCCCAAATTATGCTGCATGGGGGTGGGGGGAAACACAGGGGAAAACCTGTTACAATTCCAGTCTTGTACTGAGATTAAGTATTTTTAAGGCAGATCAAGACACTTAACCCAGCTGATGTTTTTGTCATACGTTGTGACTGGTCCATCTCCCACAGATGTCAGTTTGAGCTGAATTGGGCTCTTGCATCATAAAAACTGCTTTCTTTCTCTGCCAGTTATACTTTAAGGATTAAAAGTAAAGGTAAGAGCAGATTTGGAGGGATTGAGTTGTGGCTTGGTAATAGAACCAAGGAAGGAATTTGCCATTTAAGTTAAAAAAAAATTAACACCTGCTGACGGCGGCAGCTATTTGACAGAGGGGCCAGCCTGGAGCTGGCTCAGGAGCGGCCGTTGTGTCATCATGGAGTCAGACCCTCCTTGTCAGGGCTTTAGCAGATGTCAAGGTGATCTGAAAAGCTCTTAGGGTTTCAGCCACTGTTGTGGCAAAGGAGAGGCTTTAGTATCCGAACCTGTCATTTGTGAGACACTGACAAATTCCCCTGCCCCCTGCCATACTCCTCTTGCTTATTGAATTTCACCTGGGCTGAAGTTCTGTAGCATTTTCACTCTCTCTGTAAATAAACCAAAAAGAAATGGCATGCACTTGCATTAAATGTGAATTGAACAATGTATTACAGTTAGAAAAATTCCTCACATTACGGTGTTAAGAGTTCTGCTTCTGATCAACTGCAGAACCTCACCCTTTCTTTATAAATGTAGAAAAATCATTTTCAGAGGTGTTTCAAGCCTATTTATGGGGCATTAGCAGAAAGGAAGCTACACATACTAATTTTAACAAGTGCCATATTATTTACTGGGCAGCATGATAAAAATGAGGGTTTTCTGCTTGTGTTAAACAGTTAAATACACAAGCATTATTTTCCAGTGCACGGGGAATTTATATGGAGAACTCATGTAATTCATTACTAATGCAGATTAACTGTGTTACCTCTCTCATCCATGAGGATACAGTTTATTTTTGCTGGTGATGCTATGTTGTCAGGGGAAAAAGGGGAGGGGGTTGTGACTGTTTGCAAAGCCGGGAGGTTAAAGCGAAGGTAAACATTCTGAATGCCCGAACGAGGGAGAAACCCAAGTCCCGCTCGGAGAAGTCAGCTTGGAACCTGCCTCCCGTCATCGTTCAGTGGGACTTTGGTTCCCAAAGTGCCTGAATTGCTTCTGGAAATGGTATGTGAGCTTTGAGATGACTTGCTTTTCTAAACCCTAGCAAGTTGGAAGGAAATTGCTGAAGAAGAGAACTGCCGCTAGCATTTGCATTAGCAATATGCAAACATGCTTTCGTTGTGAGGCAAGAGGGAAAAGATCCTTTAGCAAAATAAAAATCCCCTCTTGGGGCAATAATTGCCTCGTTTTTAGCGTGAAGAATACCGCATTATTTTAGTGAACTGGGTTCATACGAGTATGAGCAAAAAAACCACGATCTCGTAATTTTTAGGGAGTTATCTTGAAGCATATAAATTCCTGATGTGCATTAACTTGAGTGAATTGGGCCTTAATGATCCATGTGTAAATAACAAAACTGTATTCAGATATTTTTTCCAGAAATTAGTCTCTAATGGTCTGTACTGTATTAAAATAAGTGTCAAAGTGTTACTTTTATATTACACTTTTTTTTCCCCCAGAACATTGAAACATGCATGTTTATTCTATTTGCTACAGTATTTTAATGTTTTGGATGAAGGCCATCGGTTGTATGGAGATGACAAAACAATCATTCTGTCTATTTATTCAGTATTGCTGCTTAAAGTTTTCAAAATAAAGCTTTCAATGCCAATATAGTGACTGATTGAAAGCTGTTCTAGCTCTCTTCAGGTGTTTTTTTCTACGTTTATAGAAAACTTAATAACTGCAACTTGGTATATAAACTGTTATACCAGCAAAGAATTGCAATAATATTGTGGGGAGGGGTTGGGGTGTGTGTTGTATACGCGTAAATGTATGCATGCAGCTAATGCGTTTAGGTCTCAAGTAAATGGAGTGCTGAAGAATGTTCAAATCCTTTGTGGTCTTGCAAGCAACCTACCCATGCAATCAAGTACCGGTTAGAACTTTGTATCAGTGTGCAGCGCTTGTGAGAAGCAGAACAGCAAAGGTAGTCACAAAGGATCAGCTCGGAGCTCTTTGAACCAAATGGGATTTAAGCACATTCTTGAGTATTCCATACACGTGTTTCTATACTGGGCCTAAAAGCATGTTCTGATACAAAAATCTTTCGGTTGCAGCAAGGAAGCCTTGTTTTTCAAGCATAGCTGGTATCTCTGAAAATTTGAGTAGTTCAGAGATGGATCATCAAGTATGCCTGCTTTATTTGTAAAGGATGTCAGAATGCAGAGAACCTTCACCCTCATGATCACCCCGTGAAACTACTAACTAGGGGTTCTGACTGGAAGATTTGAGTTGCTGACACTTTAACCTAGAGAAGCAACACAGACTAACTGTGAAAACACGAGTGAGCGTTGTATTACTGCTCTGCTTCAATGCAAGATGAAAATCTGTATTATATGTAACTATATTTTTTGTCATTTAAAAAGCTTCTATTTTTTATTATTCTCATGAATGGTTAACAAAAGATACTGGATATGCTCCCATGCAATAAATTCCCCTCTGAAACTTTGGGTCTTTACGGTTCATGGTTTGCTGGTATTGCACCGCACATCTCGCACGCATCTCGTGATACAGCTCCTGGAACTCTTCCTGTCAAAGAACACGTAGCCTGAAAGCAGACCAAGGCCATGCTCGGTGTGGCTAGAGCGCAGATGCTTTCAGAAATGGCCGTGGGTCAAGCATTAGGGTGCAGTGATCACTCCTAAATGGCAATTTGCTTGGAAACGTGGGACATAAAGCTGGTTAGTGTGGAGCCTCTATTGCAGACAAGAGAGGTCCTCTGCCATTCATTGTGCACGTGCTGTATTTGTATAGTTCCTGTAGCCCAGGAACTATAAGAGGGTGGAATAGCTTATTTTGAACTTAGCTTATTTGAGCTAAGATTAATATTAATCCTGAAAAGACAGAATTGGTCGGTGACTCTGAGGAAGTGTAACTTAAAAGCAGAGAGGCAGGGAGTTGTTTGGCAATGATCAGGGTGAGGAATTGAACGTACAGAATCTTCACATAACAAAAACGAGGTGAACAGATGCTTCAGGGAGCAGGAAGAAACTAAACTTTGAACAAGGAACTGAAGAGCTGATTTAGGCTCACTTAACTGTGCTGAAGACCAGAGGACCTGTTACTTGAGATCATTTGAGTTAATCCAGGCAGAGAACTTGCTACAGCTGGGAACTTACGATTTAAGCCATCCAAATGCAGGCCTTAGTCTAATATCCCAACAGATGGCTTTTCCCAAGCCAACAGAGCCTAATCTCTCTAGATGTGAGGAGAAACGAGCCAACACTAGTAGCACTGTTGACTGGCGATAAGACGAAGGACATCGTGAGCTTCACTGAAACCCTGTAAACATGGCATTCACATTGGCAGGACCATGTAAGTTGTGGAGGACC